TTAGAATCACTAATGGGCTTGGTTTGGCCGACAGGCAGCTGTCAGCCGAGGGCGCTTCCAGTTGTAATTGAGAAATGGCAGTGAGCTATCTCCCCGAGTGGGATGATAGTAATTAATTGTTCATTGATCCCACAGGTCAACTAGAGGTCAGTGAAGTTACTCCAATGGCCTGCTAGTTTGCCAGGCAGCCAGGAGCAGTGGTTTGAGACCTCAGTGGGAACTATCTTGTGCCCTCAACTCTGATGCAAGGTGATGGGATAATTATGGTAACCTTAATGTCTATTATTACAAATAATACACAAGTGAGCCATCAGGAAAACTTCATCAGCACACTATTTAAGACTGGGGGAGGGGGAGGGGGAAATGTGTTCGACAGTGGACATTTTTAGTGCAGAATGGAGCACCACAATATGATTGTTATTATTATCAATGTCAAAAACTTGGATAAGTGTCCCTCTGGGTAGAAGGCTGCGCCTGGGGAAGCCCATAGACTTCATCCCTGCTCCGTATATGCAACTGTGGACTACAGCACAGAACTCATACACAATTGGCAAGGCGCACACACAGCAAATTGGTAAAATGAGACTGATTTCAAGCCCCAGCTCTTCTTCAAAGTTCCCCCCATGTTCCATGTGCTGCCAGCCTCTAGATGTGCCTTGACACATGGTGACACCCACTCTTCATTCATACAATCTATTCAACAATGGGAATGGTTTCTCTCCTTTGTGTAAGGTACTGTGCAAGGTGCTGAAGTTACACCTGCGTTCCTGTGGGGCCTGTGTAGTCCCAAATTGTCTCTCTTGTCTAAATCTCCCATCTCCAAGTAGATTAAACTTTTTGAAGACTGGTCATGAAAGATACGTTGGATATTCCAAACAATAGCCATAGCTAGTACTTACTGTTGTATTGGCTTTGTCATATCGTAAGCTCCAAAATGCTTAACACAGAGCCACACAGGTACTGTATCATCATTTAATAATGATTTATTGTAAAAATTCTGAAGCCTAATTGTGGTGGTGGGAGTGGTGAGTGTTGGCAGTGGGGGTTGTTGTGGTGGAGACTTGGTGGGCTCATGTTTTGTGTGAGATGAGATTCAGATGTTCTTCTTTCTAGGAACTGCTATATGAGTGACTAAGGGGTGAGAGTGTTGATGGGATTTTTCTGGTAAAATATCTTGCAGAGACAGTATAACTATCTTGAGTTATACTAGGTCACATGGAACAACCTCAGAGGCATAACAGTTAACTCGGGGGAAAGTTTTGTAATGAATCCATGGATATGATTTTCTTTTGAAATGCTGCTTTCTTTTTACACACCTGCACTTCTCTTATTGGGTGAAGCTGATCGTAGTTGCCATAGAAACTCCTTGTGGTAATACAGTTCTCTCGTACAGTTTTCCCTTCAGCTGGTTGACGTTTCCGTTGTAAGGTCATCAGTGATCACCAAATCTAAAGGACCTCTTGTGGAACAGTGTGGCATTTGATCCCATAGCCTTCTTGACATGGACTCTGTTTGCAGGTTACAGTTCGAGTTTTCCACCCACCTCTTTAGCTGCCATTCTCACCCCCCTCCCTAGTCTCTCCAGGTGGTCTTCCATCTCACCGAGGTTCTCCACTGCAATGGCCACCTAATTTTTTATCTCCAGAGAGGAAGGTATGTCTTCCAGGCCCTAGGTCCCCACTTCTTTTGGACTTTATGGCAGATGTCTGCGCTTGAATGTTCCATGTGCATCTCAGACTTTCTTCTTTCTACCTCTTATCCTTATCTCCATCCTTGTTGTCAAGTCGGTAAAGGATGCCTCTCTTCATGCTGCCCTACTCAGAAACCTAGAAATCAGCCTTGACCCTCTCCTTTCCTTAACCCTCTCTCTCAGTTGGCTCACCAAGATAATCTACTGCACACTCTCTACTTCACTGGTCATTGAAATGGTTGCTTGTGTTGTGATCCTGCTTTCCTTATTGTCCGTTCTCCATTGATTTCCCACCCCAATCTGGGAGATTTTTTAAGGAATGCACATGATAATCCTGTCTTCTTTAAACTCCATCAGGACTTTTCTAGAAGATCAGGCACCTGGTATGGTTTATAAGGCCACACCATTGCTGCTCCAAGCACAATCATTCTCCACGTGACAGCTTTACCACTCAACTGTCTCGGAGGCTCTGTGCTCTCTCCATCACCTTGGAGGAAAGCCAGAAAGTCCTGAACATCCCCATGGAGATGCTCATCATGTCCTTTCCCATTACACAACCAAGCAGTGACAATCTCCTTGCTCTGTACTCCCACAGATCTCTTACGAAGCGTTTGCCATGTGGTGGGCAATGTTTCAAGCCCTTGACTTCACTTACTACAGTTAACCTTCACAACCTAAGAAAGGAATCCCACATCTATTTCCATTTTATAAATGTGGAAAATGTTATGGTTTAGCTAGAAACTGTCCCCCCAAAAGTTCATTTGTTCAGGGGTTGGACTTTTGGAAGTTGGTTAGATCAAAGAGTGCTAACCTTGTCAGTGGATTAATTCACTGATCGGTTTATATTTGAAAGCGCTGTTAGGGAATGGGGCCTGACTGGAGGAAGTAGGGAGCGGGGGACATAACCTAGAAAGGTATTTTCTTGTCCTCATCCCCTTCTTTTCTCTGGCTCTTCCTGTGCTCTCTGCTTTCTGCCCAGCATGAGATGAGCAGCTTTCCTTTGTCATGCCCATCTACCATGATGTTTCTGCCTTTGAGTTAGCTAACTACAGATTGCAAGCTTTGAAATTGTGAACCAAAATAACTCTCTCATCCTTTAAATTAGTAGGGCCAGATATTTTTGTTCCAGCAAGGAATGGTGACTAATAAAGAAAGCAAGACGCAGGCACCACCTAAGTGGCAGGGCTCAGCTGCATCTGAACCCCTAACCCAGCACAGAGCCCACACTTTAATCCTTTTTAGCTGTGCTTTTGACTATACCGCCTCCTCCCAGTAAGCTGTCTCTGCTTCTGCCATCCCTGTTCAAGTCTGAGCTTCCTCCAGAGTAGAGATTTGCTTGTTTTATTTTTTCCCCCTTAACTTCATGTGTGATATGCCAGAGGGGTTCAGCAGCCTGGAGAAAGAAACTAGTTCTGGATCTGACTTTTCCAGGAGTTATTTAATCTTTCATATTGTGACTTTTATAACATAAAAGAAGAAATATTAACTTTGTACTATGCACATGTCCAAGCAAGAAAGGGCTTCCTACCCCTGCAGGTATTTACCTGTAATGTTTACCTGTGAGTTATTTAAAACGATTTCCCAAAATTTAGAATGCTGAAAGCAGAAGAACTGACCAGAGACCACATCCTCTTTGAAAATGTCCCTTCCACTCCCAGGTACCAGGCTCTTTTTAAAAAATTATCTTCTGAATATGAATAAGCCAGCTCTTTAAAGTTTAATGTCCCAGCCATCTTAATTGTTTCTTCCAGAGTACAAAAGAGCAGCCGGGCCACATTGTCACTAATCATTTGCCAACTTTCCTTTTTGCAAAAACAGCTAAGCTCTTTTTGAGACTTAAAATCACTCTGTCTGAGACCCCAACTTGGCAGCTACTTTTGTGTTAACATAAAAGGAGCCTAATTTCTGCTTTTAAGAAATGTGTTAGAGAAGAGATTTTTGATTTGAGGTTTAAAAAAATATATAACAAAGTAAAATAAAAGTTTTTCTCTTTCTTCTACCAGTGCCCCTTCTCCCTTCTTTACTTACATTGTCCTGAGATAAGGTTTCCAGATAAAATACAAGACCCCCATTGTCATGGTCCAATTTCTATTGCTATGAGAAAATACCCGAGACTTGGTGGCTTATAAAGAGGAAAAGAGATTTATCTCACCATTTGGGAGGCTAAAAGACTAACATTAGGTGTTTCCACGGATTCAGCCACAATTGAGGGCTCCTCAGCTCTAACTCATCCTGGAAGAGTACATCATGTTGGGATGGTGGGGAGGGAGGGAGAGAGGGAGAGAGAGAGAGAGAGAGAGAGGGAGAGGGAGAGGGAGAGGGAGAAAGAAGTCAGAGGAAAAGGAAGGGTCTGGCTTGCTTTTTCTTAACAACCCTTTCTCAAAAGTGAGCTGGGTTCCTTGAGAACTATTTTAACCTCCTCTGAAGTCAGGAACCCTAGTGACAAAGGTTCCACCACCTCCCACTTTGCCACACTAGGGACCAGGCTTCTGACACATGAAATTTAGTGGTGGGGGGGCACACAGACCACAAGTTTGAATTTCAGAGAAACAAGAGATGCTCTTAATATACAGGTGAACTGTGCAATATTTGGAACATATTTATATTTTAAAAGACATACATTTATTTAAAGTTCAAATTTATTAGCCCCTTGTGTTGTCATTTTGCTAAAACTGGTAGCTCTTGCCTGGGCATTTCCTATGTTTTCCACATGAGTTTTTTTGTTTTTGTTTTTGTTTTGCTTTTTTGGTCCCGGGGGTCAAACTCAGGACTTTGTGCTTGTGAGGCAGGCACAGGACCACTGAGCTAAATCCCCTGGCCCTTACCCATGAGTTTTGCAAATGAAAACTGCTAACTGATATGAATGACCAATATTCTGAAAATAAATAAGCAAACTAAACCTATCATTTGAGATATCTAATCACAATCACATACCTACACATTCACTGGTTTCTAGGAAACAAATGGTTTCTTACAATCCAGAACAAGTGGGTGCAATGTCTGGAGTTGTCTACATTCTTACCCATGGACTGTAAGTGGTTATTGGAAAGGTATACTTTTAGGGGACTTGGAGCCCAAAGGATGATGTGGTACAGTTCCATGTCTTTGGAGTCATAATTGAACTTCCGTGATGCAAGAAAGGAAATTATTCTAGCTGCGACCCTAGTGATGAGTGAAATAGGTTTCAGAGAAGGAATAGAGCCATAGGAGCCAGGGGGCGGGGGACACAGGGAGAGAGAGAGGGAAGTAGACAGAGGGGTGTGTGTTTTTCTTTAAGTGCCACAGTGCTCTTTCCTCTTCTCTCTCCCTCCCAATTCTGACTTCAAGCTGCAAGGGTCCTGGGCGCCCTGGGGGAACCATGAGGCCCTGGGTCTGAAATCGATTCTCTGTGGGCAGCAGGGCAGCAGTGGCAGGCAGGAGCTCAGCTGTCACTTCGAAGACTTTTATAGAGTCTGACAGCAGTGCTGGCTCCCTGTCTTTTGTCTTTTGTATTCTGTTTGCATTCAGCCTTTAATCGAGGTGGGAAATAACATGAAGGGGCTTTTAGGAAAAGATCTGTACTTGCACTCTCAGGTACCAGGAGAATCCTCGGAGGAGACTGTGAGTACCCTGTCCCTGGATTTTTGTTTTGTTTTGTTTTTGGATTGAAGGAACAGCTTTCCAAGTCCACTACCTTGGAGTCACTGAATTTGTCCAATCATAGGTTGGGAGATAGATATTCAAGAGCAAGGGTATCTCCCTGAAGGTACTTTAAAACTATTTAGGGAAATCAGTATTTAAACAGATGGGCAGGGCAGAATGAATGCTGATGCTTGAAGGTTTTGATCATGCAACATTTCAATCCCAGGCTGAGATAGTGCAAAGGCCTTTGGAGGGGAAAATACTTGAGAGAGCTTTAGGAAAAAAACTAAGGGAATGAAGAAAGACAGGGGTAGGAAGAGGCAAGAGCAGAGTGGAGGAAGTTGTTGGAGGGTCTTTATGCACCTCTCCAGATGGTCGCCAGTGCAGAAAATTGGGGCACATCTGTAACTGAGGGCTTCTCAGCATCAACAAGAAGGTAGTGCTTGCTGAGTTACACATTAATGAACCCACCCTAGCGTTTCCAGCAAGGTGGGTCAGGGCGTAGTCTAGAACTTCTATTTTTAACAGGTCACCTGGGATGCTGGTCCTACTGGTCAAGGGAACCCATTTTGAAGACCGCTGTGTAGCTGGCACTGCCCAGAGGATCAGAAACATGTCCCTCCTGATCCACCTGTCCCCTTCATAGAACTAGCTGTTTTCCAGACTCTTATTAAACATAATACATGATATTGGTTAATTACCTTTTTATGTGCATGTGACAGGATGAGTAGAAGAGGAAGAGAACATTATCTAGTTTGTTTTCTTCATATATCTAATCTTTGGAACTTCAGTTATTTTTTTGGTGCGAGTCCCGAAATGCCCCCCATATAATTAATGGAAAATTATAAATATCCAGCATTTCTAGAATATTCACATTACTCTCTCCTCTTCTTTGCCCTTGCAGTGAGTGTACCATTTATGGATAGGGTATTATACTTGGGTAATAGTTTTTCTTTGTTTTGTGGTACTGGGGATTGAACGCAGGGCCTTTTCAACGAGCTACATCACCAGCACTTTACTTTTTATTTTGAGATAGAGTCTCAGTGTTCAGTCTAGCCCTGAATTTGAGATCTTCCTGCCTTGGATTCCTGGAGTAGTGGGATTAGAGTCATGCACCACCACACCCAGCTGTGAACTGTGTTCTTAATGACGATGATTCTGCATGATCTTCCTGATCCCCACTTTTTGGTGTGATTCAAAATCAATGAACTCCAGATGGAAAGAGCAAGATAGAGTTCAATCAGGATTGGAGATTTAGATCCCTCATCACTTGTGGGTGGCCATGGATATAACAGACAAGCTCTATGACTAGAAAACAAAAGTCATCCCAGTGGGGACCTCCCAAGATACAGGAGGCAGTAACATGTTGTCCACCTTTGACCCACCCTTGGGAGGAGCTTGTACTGTTGACTAGCCAGTGTCCACTGAAGAATCTACTTACTGATGTTTTAATTCCGTATTTCTTGCTGCTTCCTCTAATTAAAATAAAATTAATAATTGTAAAAAAATTCTATTTACTACTTTAAAATACTGAATAGGTTCTGCTGTAGTTTGGATATGGCTTGAGTGTGTCTCCCCAAATGTCCATTAGCTGGATGCTTGGTCCCTGGTATGGTAGTGAGATAGGATCTAGTGCAAGGTAAACAGGTCACTGGGGGCACCACCCTCGGAAGGGACTAATACAGCTCTCCTTGGAGTCTGGTTAGTTCCTGCAAGAGTAGGTTGTTATAAAAAGAACAAATCTGGCCTCTAGTTTCCCCAACTTCCTATCTTACCATGTGATCTCTTCCTCTCACAAGCACCCCACCATGCTGTGAACCACCTTGTTGTGATATAGCCACAAAGCCTTTACCCAAGCCCAGTTTATGTCCTCTTAAATCTCCAGGACTGTGAGGTAAATAAGCCTCTTTTCTTCATAAAGTACCTATCCTGAGATATTTTGGTATAGAAAATAGACTAATAGGGTGAAGGGACTACTCAACAGTCATGGGCCTTCCATTTTGGACAACACGAAGGAGGGACTTTCCAAGCTTCCACAGCAAAACTTTTGAGCTAGTGTCATGACCTAGCCTGGAAACAGCCCACTGGGACTACAAATGGACATAGCTGATTTTGCCTCTGTGAGGATAGATAAAGAAGAAGGAAGCAGCAACACAAGAAGCAGTTCTAGAATAGAGGTGCTAAGATCTCTGATATATCAGGAGTGCCATGGATAAGGTTGGAAGGGTTACCACATCATGGAGTCTGGGATGGAGGTCAGGTAACCCAACACTACTCTCAGGTCACAGGCATAGCTCTCCCAAGGCAAGATGAGACAGTTGGCTGCCTACCTCTGAAGGGTTGCCAGCAGTCCTCCTCAGCCCAACCAGCTGGGGAGAAGAAAATCCCTACACCAGGAGATCATCTATCCCATATGCACAGTGCATGGTAAGCATAGCTTAGGTCTCTTTAGCCTCGGCTCCTACCTAGCTTTCTCTATTGTCTATTCCTTGTGCATTCATTACTCTCTGTCTTGTAAAGCAGGCAGCCTCCTATTGCCTGGTGGAGTTGGTAGAGCTGCATATGAGTTTGTGAGAGCATGATTTGCTATGGGACTAAAGTGGATTGTTGCGGCTTCTGGATCTTGTTGTTATTGCACAGTTCTTCTTTCTATATATTTTTAGAGATTGTAGATGGAACATGAATGGAATCCAAATGGCAGGGAGTCAACATCATTCTGCAAATGGGAAGAGCCCTGTGCTGGGAGGCCAGAGATGTGAATTCTGATTATGAGCATCTGTACAACTCTGTTTGTTTGTTTGTTTGTTTTGAGACAGAGTCTCACTATGCAGTTGAGACTGACCTGGAATTCACTATGTAGTCCAGGCTGGTCTCAAACTCACAGTGATCCTCCTGCCTCAGCCTCTCGAGTGCTGGGATTACAGGTGTACATAATCACGCCCGGCACATCTATACAACTCTGTTTGGCCTTAGGCAGCTCCCATGAACTTCCTAGGCCTCTGTGTCTTCCTTTTCCTGACATGCTAACCTAGGCCTCTATATCAAATGAGGGAACTGTCTCAAGACTCCACTGCTGAAGTTCCCATCATGATCTGGAAGGGCTGCATGAATCCTTAGACGCATAGGTTTTTTAAGTTGGTTTGTTACATCCTGGCCCTGAAGACATGAGATCATGGAAACCAGCTGCTGAGTTTAATGGCTGCACACCTTCCTGGGACACCAGGGGATAGAGGGTGAGTGTGGTAGCTGGAGGGGCCAGAAAGCACCAGAGACTAATTTGAAGAAGGAGGTTCTGGATGGTGTGTGGATTCAGCACCTCTCCTCCATTTGGCTCCCACCAGGGATACCTCCTCCCCACAAGAGAGATGTTATCTGTCCATGAAATGCATTGATTCAGAAATACTTAATATTCCTGGTTTTTATTAGTCAGCATACAATGTTGATAACCTGAATGTCTAGACAGCCATATTGAGTGAACAAATGATTCCAGGAAAAAATTTAAAATTGTTTTCTTTCTGTTAGTCTATGCTATACAGCTTATGATGGATAAATATATACTTTTTTCAGTACTAGGGAATGAACCCAGGGCATTTGTATTGACCTATATCCTTTATCCCTTTTTATTTTTATTTTGAGATAGGGTCTGGCTAAATCACTAAATTGTTCAGGCTGGGCTCAAACTTTCCATCCTCTTGCCTCAGCTTCCCACAGTGCTGGATTACAGGCTATGTATAACCTCTTTTTCCCACTTTCAAAGATTGAAAATATGTAGTGGCCTTCAGGCACTTGCAGGGCCTGGGAGGCTCAGGTTGGGAAGCTAGGTTTCCAGATTAGAAACAGGGAGAAGCTCTAGAGCAGGGGATGGTAGACTCCCACGGGGAGCAACTCTCGAAGCTCCCACTGACAGCTGAGAGGGTGGTTGGTGCAAGACCACCGCTCCGAGACCCTGTGGGCAGCCAGCTTCCAGGCATTCTTCCAGTCCAGCTCTTCCTGCCTCTGCCTGTGTCTTGGCCCTCAGCCCATCTCCCCAGATCCCTGACACAGGCTAATTGCTTGTAACAAAACTTGGCTTTAGAAATGTCAGGCGGAATGGGACGGGAGGGGAAGGAGGCAGAAGGGAATCAAAAACAACAAGAAGAATTTGGCAGAAGTCACCACAGAGGGTACAACTTGAGGGCTCCTGGGCGGGCCAGGTTTATTAACTGCTCTGGCTTTAGAAGGTCACCACCTCACACGAGCAGTTGCTCCAGCCCAGCAGCCCCCAGGTAGAAGCTGTCAGGAGAACACCTTGGAAAGGGCAGGGAAGTGTCAGCAGGCCCCACAGCACTTCCCCAAAGCTCCAGGCTTGGCTGGGGCCTGCCCTCCTCCAAATGCCAGAGTAAGACATTTATGAAGCCAGCTCTTCCCAGTCCACTGGACCCATCACTGATAGGAAGCAGGATCCTTGAGAGCCTTGGCCTTGACTCCAGGAAGCCACAAGGTGCCCTCCCATGTCCTCCCCCTTGTCCCCAGAATCTCATTTTTCATACAGTACTGACCTTGGTTTTTAGACTCATAGTCATCCAAAATTTGGATAAAGCTGATCTGCAGGAAGGCATTAATAACAATGGTATTTGGCTTTGGTAGCAATTGCATAGTCAGTTGAGAGGCCTGGCCTAGGAAGGGCACTGCCCTGGGCAGTGAGGCAGGTTCTCCCCAGCCCCGCTGAGGTCAGAATCCTCACGCCTGGCAGTGGGTGTGGTGGTCCTAGCGATGGTGAGGTTGTTTCTGATCCTCCCGACTCCAAGTGATGCTGTGTCAGCCTCCAGACTGCTGGGATGATCGGCCACCCTGCTCAAAGTCATTTCTTTATGATGTCAGCCTCCTGCCTGTTTGCTGAGGTCTGCTGTGAATTCAGCATTAGCTCTTCGCTCAGAGCTAACCCCACAGAGTATGTATTTGGGTGTCTCGGGCAAATGATGTGGAGGTTGAAAGCCAGACTGCCCAGGTCTTCTTTCTACTTTTGCCACCTTCAAGCTGGCAAGTCACTTCACCTATGGGCAGCATGTCCTCGCCTGTGAAGGACAAGCATGGCACCCATGTCACTGCGTTACTGTGAGGATTAAATGAGTTTACACACACACACACACAATCACTTAGAACAGCGGCTGGCCTACAGTATATTTGATGTAAGAGTTTGTTAGATTAAACTTTGCTAATTTTCATTTGAAATCTTTGCACTCTGGCTATTAAGGGTGGCTCTCCTTTCCCTAAAACCTCACTCTTAGGAGAAGATCTGATTGAACAGCACCATCCAGTGGGGATTTATTGAGCATCTACTATATGGTGTCAAGTTCAGCACATACAAAAATGATCCATACCAATGCCAGCATTTGCACTTGCTTGATGAAGCCAGGCTTTTGTGCTCAGGCTTCCTGCAAGATTATGTTCAGATGGCTCCAGGGTCAATGGATGCTACCAAGGACCACAGGGCAGGAATGGTGAAGAATGCAGTCCTCCGTCTATAATGCTATCAGGGGTTCTTATGGCTGCTGTCAAGGCCTTGTTTGCTTTCACCACAAAATGTGGTTTCCTTGTTGCTTTTTTAAAAGAGTGAAAGAGATTTAATAGACGTATCAACTAAACCCAATATGTGTAGACATTGTTTGAATCTTGCTTTGAACAAACCAACCGTAAAACCACATTGGTGAGATGATTCAGGAAATGTGAGTGTGGATGGGTTGTCAGAATGACCATAGTGTTGGGGCTGTGTTTCAACATTTTTCCTGACTAGAGACCCACACAAAGTGTTCATAGATGAAATGATACAGCGGCTAGAATTTGCTGTAACGTAGATCAGAGGATGACAGGGGGAAGGATGGCCATAAAACTAGACTGAACAGAGAGGGATGATTATTGCAGTTGGTGACACTACAGAGAAATTTTTGTGTCACTCAGAGAATTTCCATAATAAAGCTAAAATAAAAACACAGTGAAGATGAGGTACTTTGGCCCAGAACTCTGAGCCTCACATCTGGGCACAGTCAATTCCTGCCCTTTGTACCTGGATCCCAGTCTGTCCCTTCCTATGGCCTTTCCCTGACCCTGCCCTTCAGTTGGTGGCTAGGAGGCTGAGAATTCAGAGGGTCGTAGTAAACATGGAAACTGTGCTTGAGGGATCCTTTTCCTGAATGTCTGGAAGGTCACTGTCATTTTCCAGTTGTTTAAGTGCCCATTTGAGGTGCTGGCTGCCAGGGTTCCTCCCCGTCCAGGTTGAAATTTCCTTGCCAGTGTTAGGTATGTGGTGCCTTTAATAGTTAATTAGATCATGGGGCTCCACCCCCTGGATGGGATGAGTGCAGTTCTCACGGGGGTGGGTTGTTATAAAGCGCAAGTGGCCTCCTCGCCATGCTCTCTTGCTTCCTTTGTGGTCGTGATCTCTTTCACACGCCACCTGCACCCTTCCAGTGTTCCGCCATTCATAGAAGAGATTGTGGCCCTCACTAGAAACTCAGCACATGCCAGAGCCATGCTCTTGGACCTCTCAAACCATTAGCTAAACCAGGCTCAAGTATTCTGTTACAGCAACAGAAAAGTCTTGACATAGGTTCACGCTACCAAAACAACTCCAGAAAGTTACACAACCCACCTTTTCTTCTCCCTCTCCCTCCTCAAAGCCTGCCCAACAGCTGCATCTCAGAGGCTGGTGAGCAGGCGGCATTTACCGTTGCGTAAAAACAAGCAGGCCCAGACTGGGCAGTGGGGAGGCGCTGGACCAAAGGTCAGGAGTGCTGGGATTCAGAGGCTGCTCTTCTGAGACCAGGTTGGTGTCATCCTGGAGAATTCTTTTCACCTTTTCTGAATCCAACTGTTCTTGTTTAGAAGGGCTGGGTTGAGAGGGAGGCCTCTATCTCCAAAAGTCATGTGTGTCCTCCCTTCTGAGAGTAACTGGCTGAGCGGGAGTCCCTTCAATGGCTTCTAATTTCCACACATCCCTTACAGGTCCCATGTCTCCAACAGCTTCCCAGGGAAACAGCTCCAGTCTCTCAAAAGGGCTTCTGGAGGGCCCTGCCTGGCTGCCCTAAATTCTCACCACAGTCCTCTGGAGTAGGAGGTGAGTGATGCCCTTGTTAAAATCACTCTTCATGCCCCTGAGATGAGAAGATGTGTTCTTTCTCAGGTCTGTCAGAGCTTCCGCTGTAGAACTTTCTAAGCCTCCTCATAATGTCAGCTAACCAGTTAACAAGCATGGGTTAAACTTGCCACTTTCCAATCAGAGAGCTTTACTTCTGGCCACCTGGACCCCCCCCCCATCTATTTGTAAGTCAGATTTCTCTTGTCACAATAATTAGTTCCAAGTGGGTGAGAGGAACGGGACAGCTGGGAGTCAAATGCTGTCTGAATGGAGTCCTTCCCAAGCAGCATCTGGCACTCTGGCCTTCATTGTGGGCCCTCGGGTCTGGCATGGGCACCACCCAGTCAGCTTAGTGTGGTTGTTAAGACTAGGGTTCTGCAGCTTCCAGAGTCATAAAGTGTGGCCCCCCTCTCAGCTCAGCCACTGATCAGTTCTAAGTGGTAGGTAGGCCCTGCTATTTAACCAACCTTTCTGGACCTCAGCTTCCCCCACCACGAAGTAGAGATAGTAACAATATCCCTTTGTCAGAGAGCTGTTTGTTAAGAATCAAGTAAGTCAAGTTTTCAGAAGAGTGCTTGGCTTGTAATATGGTGGTAACCACTCAAATTGCTGCCTGCCCATTACCATGTAGTTTCTCCTTGCTGGACTTTGGCAGGTGGGAGACAGAGAATCTAGGGGTAAGGTACAGAGGTATTGCACGGTGGGGTAAAAACAAAGGGATGTCAGTTATCACCAGAGAGACACAGTAGTCTGTGCCTTTCAGGTTCACCCATGTGCCTCTCCTGGTCCAGGAGCCCACAGGGCTGAGGCAAAGGCTGTTGGCTCTTCCTGCTGACCTCTCTATCAGGTCCTCAGCCACTGCCACCTGACTTTCACTCTTGAAAGTGACCCAGGAAATCTACTCAGGAGGGGAACTCATTTCATTGAGCCCTTCATTCACACAGTTGTTCTCCTATTTTGCCAGGTGCTGGGACCGTTGTGTGAGACAGGGGCCCTAAGTCTTCCCCTGGCCTCCAGACCCTCTAGGCCTGGCTGCTCTTAACCTCCTACTGCCTCCTGTCCACTACAGGCACACATCAAATACCCTCTCAGCTCAGGGCTTCTGCCCTGGTGTTTCCTTAGCTCAGAACCTTCTCCCCACATGGTGAGGGGTACTCTGTGACTGACGTCCTACACCTGCCATCCTGTAGGTCTGCGCTCCGGTGTCACCTCCACAGGTGTCACCTCCTCCTTATCTGAGTCCTGTTTAAATCAACCCATTGCTCTCAGGTCTTTTCTCTGCCTTTTAGACCTAATTGTACTGTCATTATCTGGTGTCAAGTTATTTGTTTCTGTCTGTCCCTCACAGACCTTAATATACTCCATGTATTAACCCTTGCGTGTTCCCCGACATTGTTGGAGAAGCTTACAGATCTCTCTTTAGAATAAAGACTTACCAATGCATAAGATATAGCACACAGTATTGCTAAATTTTAGTTGAATGAAAATAAAGGTGAATTCTTTTTTTCTATCCAAGTTTACAGATTCTCTTGAGTTCTTAAGCTTAGGCCACAAATGTTGTTTTCTTCCCCACTAGCACCAAAAAAGAAAATGTTTGGAGTACCAGAGAATTCAATAAATATGTCCGGAATAAACAAATACCTTTGTTACAATCTAGTAGTTAAAGGGTTAAATGTGTTTCTCCAATCCTTTATGTGCATTTTAATAATAAAATGATGACCGTATCTGCCATTTGGTGATTGCTGCTGTGTGCTAGATCCTGTTTCATGAACATCAGCTCATTTATTTTTTCCAACAGCATTGAATACTCCCATTTTATGGCTCAGAAAAAGTCAGTATTAGAACTCAGATCTTGTATTAGAACTCAGATTTGAGTCCAGAGTCTGTGCTCTTAGTGTGTTAAGATAGGCTTCCTTAGTGTCTCAGTCTTGCATACAAGTCCTCAAGTCTAGCAGGGCCTGCCCTGGTTTCCTCACTAGCTAGAGGTTCCTGCCAGTTCCATTCACCCTCATCTTCTCAGGCTACCTGTGGTGCCATCTAGGGGCCTTAGCCATTTCCCCAGCATCACACAACTACCTCAAAGCTAAGGCCCATCAGGCAGTAGCTCCAAGACCTGCTGCTCTTTTACTTTCCAAATCTCAACATCCTCCTACCCCCTAGGTACTGTACCTTGGATGTTCTCCAAGCCGCCCTGTGGTAATGGAAGGGTCAGTTTCTCCATGAGGACTTTCCTGTTTCTCCCCTGGTAGATCTGTCCACATTGTACGCCCAGTGTTCTCTACATAACACCACCCACAACTCGCATCAATTATCCCATTTGTTTACATGCCTCCCCTCTTACCATTCAGACAGCTCCTTGAGGACTGGGGCTGATTCTAGTTTGTCTGTAATCTCTGGGTTTAGAACAATGTCTGACATGGGGAGGGGACTGGATGCCTGCTGAAAGGGTGAAGAGATGAATGAAAGGATAAATGAATGCATGAGTTATACGCACGAACCATGCTTTACATTTTGGCTTTTGAGTTTATTATTTATTACACATAACCAGGTGCCTAGTAGCATTGCAAGACCTAAGAGAAATGGATTCTGAAGATGTCAAGAACGGGTCCTTCTTTACTTCCCAATGTAAAGTCAGTCTGCAAGAAAAATATACAGAATCATATCCAACAGCATATGATATCTATTTGTTTTAGCTCCTCAAATCAATTCAAAACCTATTAATATTTAATTTAATTCACTATTTTTTCTAGAACATTAACAGATATGTTATTAAGCTATGGGTCATTCATAATTGGTCATCTCTCCGTGAATTAAATTTTAAAAAGGAAAAGTAAGATCAAAGAATAATCAGATTTCCTACTTATGCAAGGCAACCAAGGTAAATTATATTTTCCTTCTAAAAATAGATTATTTTCTTAAGAATCAAACATTTATTTTGATCTCAAGTGATCTCAGTATATCTTATGTAGAATTAAGAAATAAATTCCAGGTAATAGTATTATATTTTTAATAGATTTAGCATGTATTGAATGATGTTTGAGTACAAGGCACTGAACTGGGTCCTAGAAGGAAACAAAGATGGATGGAACATTGTTTCTTCCCAAACAATAAACAATAGAAGAGTGTGAGCCTTCAGGGAAGGGCTAAGCAAAGCTATCTACAGAACTTATTCTTCAAGATACCAAGCTGAGGCTTCAAGTACTTTGAAGTGTGGATCTAGTGACATGGCTGATGGTGAAGAGGTTGGATATGAAGATAAAGGAAGGTGTGAGATAAGAGCACACTTTCTTCATTAATAATCCTGCCATGATAGTCTTGTGAAGGGAACTGGAACTGCCAAATGCCACAAATAAGCTGACATGATTATTCTTGTATGGTTGGCCTATGAGACCTCTCTGTATATGTACTCAAGACCGCTGTATGATCAGAATGGCTTTATATGACTTGACAACTTTGGTGTAGGTCAATTGTCCTTAAATGAGGACAATATCCTCCCTCAAGCCAGGTGTCGCTTGGCAATGTCTAGAGATGTTCTAATTGTCATAATTGGAAGGCATACTATCAGTGTCAAATGGGTAGAGGTCAAGGATGCTGCTAAACATCCTACAATGCCCAAGACATCTCTCATATCATGGAATTATCTGCCCTAAATGTAAATATGATGAGGTTGAGAAAACTCAGGTCCAGGCCTCTCAATCTGTGATCCATACTCCTTTATGTGGTAGACTTGAGTCATACTATGAACTTCCTGAGAGAGTATGGCAAATTTTATATATGTGTGTATTACGAGGTATATAATAGATTGAAAAGTGCCACTCTCCAACTCATGTCCAGCCAGAACCCCTGAATATAGTCTTATTTAGAAATAGGTTCATCACAGATAGAATTACTTAAGGATCTTGGGAAGAAATTTTTATTCATTTGCTGGTGTCCTTATAAGGTAGAGTGGAAAAGATATTATACAAGGAAGGAGGCCATGTGAATATAGAAGTAGGCAGAGATTGGAGTGATGCTACTGCAATTCAAGGAAGCCAGGAGCTGCCAAAAGTTGAAAAGGCAAGGAAGGAATCTCCCTTACAGATTTCCAAGAGAGCAAGGCCCTGCCAGAATCTTGATGTTGGACTTCTCTTCTCCAGAGCTTTAAGAGAATATAGTTTGTGGTCCTTTGTTAATGACAACTCTCTGAAACTGATAGAAGGTATATATATTATATTGGGCAAAGGTTTTTCTCTCTTGCATGCCTGCCTGCCATCTTTTTTTTGGGGGGGTAATATAACCCCAATTTTCTGCCTGTTTCCTCTGTCTGAATTTAATCTGAGTTGTTTGGAGTGGAGTTGACTCTATCCGCAGTCCTGAGACTTCAGAATTGGGCACATGGCCTAGTTCATGTCCACAGACGTTGATGAAATCCTTTCAGCTAAAGTTGCCACACTGATATTGTGACTGTTTTTGCTGGTAGCTGTCTTCATCATCCCTAGAGAATTGACAAAGTTGACAAAGAGAGCTGAGGAAGAAGGCAACATGCCAAAGAAAGAAACAGTGACTTGCTATTCTTTGAAATCTTAGATCAGTCTACTCTGGAAAATTCATCTTTTAAACCTTCCTGCATTTAACCAGTGAGTCCACTCCCAACGTTTTGTTCATTTGATTTTTTTTAGGCACAATTGAACTTTATTTATTTATTTTCTCATTGAGTTTATCAGTACATTTTAGATATACGGCACAGTTACATTCATCATTGGGATCTTGTACATTTATATGACAGATCTTGGTTCTCATTTTTTCCCCATACCCCTGCCCTCCCTTCACCCCCTCCTCCTTTCCCTATTTACAAAGACTTTGTTTCCATTTTTTTCATTTTCTCATATTTTTTCTATTCCCTTATTCAATTGTTTAAGCCAGGATGAATTGGGTTTTTGTCATTCAAAAATAATCAAAAAATCCTTGACAAATTGAGTCCTTGGTTTTTACTGAATGGTCACAGAGAGTGATTCCATAAATTCTTAGGAACTACTAATCTTATTTATTACTGTGGAAGGTTTGCATTACTGTGCTTACAAGAAATACTGTACGGCCATGGTAGTAAGAGGACATTCCAGGAATAGGGTCTGATTAATTGAATTTGGGGGTCTTAAAAAGTGTTAACAAACTGGGTGTGCCCTGTAATTCCAGCACTCAGGAGGCTGAGCCAAGAGGATCACGAGGATCACAGCAAGTCCAAGGCCACCCTGGGCTACTTAGTGAGAACTTGTGTCAAAAACAAAACAAAACAAAACAAAAAAAGTTTTTACAAATTCCTAGCATCACAGAATATTAGAACTGAAAATTATAATAGAGATTATACTTAATTTTTTTTTACAGATTAAAGCATGGAGAGAGAAGATATGCATTGACAATCCAGATCATTAGAAATTTAATTTATCTCAAGGGTCCTTTAAATAAACATTTTTCACTTCACATCTCAAATAAAATCTATTCAGAAAAATATTTCTACATAGCACTTCCTTGGAACTCATCTATTATATATAGAAAGATAACTTACAGATGAAATAATCCTTTATTCAAATGAGAATTAAAGAGGAATATTAAAAACCCACTTGTTTTGGTCAACATTCCCTTTCTGAAATGTCTGACTTCTCCCTGGTTTGTAATTTCTGCAGTGGACTCAAACGCCTCTCAATAAATGAGGTCAACATTTCTCCATGGTTTGTTCTTCTTGTCTCCTCTGACCACTCCTCTTTGAACAAGTGACCTGCAACACCCATTGGAAAAAATAAAAATGGCTGTGTTGGGATCCACATGGAAATTATGCACAGAAACCACCACGCAGGCTTGGGGTCACATCCTCAGGCTGGTCCACTTACTCTTGGTGATTTAGATCAGGTGCTGGATTTCACATCTCATTTCACACACCTACCTGACTGAGGTTTTGGGAAAAGTCCCGCATCTTGTGTCCCAGTATTGGAATGACTAGGTGAGCTCTTCAACTTCCCTGACTTCTCTAGCATTGCAAAATGGAAGCAGCAACATCTAGCCATCTGCTGTGATCAGGAAATAAGATGTATTAGCCAAATCCCTCCATCATTTATCCTCCACCTTTCCTTAAAATGAAGACAACTGACGCATGCTTTCACTGGGAAGATCTTGGAGAAGAGACGTAAGTAAACTGAAGCAGTCTTTTACTTTTTCCCATATTCTCCTGAAGAATGACCTTTAGATTCTGAGTAGGCTGTAGCATGGTCCTTGGCCTGGCCAACCTGTTGGAGAAGATGGCAGTATAATTAAACCTGTATCCCAGTAGTTAACCTCTATAGACCCCCTTGGAACGCGGGGATTTTTTAGTTAGACCTAAAACTGCTGCTGAGCTAAATAAGCCCCAGAAGGACATAGATTTCAGACATGTGTGATGGAATCTCGATATTAACCATTAAAGAACAAAGACAACCCTTATAGAGGAGTTTCTCTGTGCTCAAAGGCCCCACCTCTCTTACTGGTGACGTGCACATGGGATCAAAGACCGTTAGTCAATAACGTGGCCCAAAATTTTCTCATATTATTTGTAAAGAACCTAAGGC